CAGTAAAATGATTGTGTGTTGAAGGAAAGCATAAATAAGACCATGAGGCATTTTTATAAGAAGTTCTGTTGTTTTGTGCTGTCACAGAGGTTACCAGCTCCACAGCAAAACTCTGATCTAACCGAGATCCTGGAGAAAACCTACTCTTTCTATGAGAATGTTTTTCCAACTGATGGCCCATACTATGTTTCTTGAAAAGCTCTCGGCTCAGCAGGAGGATACTATGTCTAAGTTCACTGCTATTTGGTCTCCTTGGGCTGGTGCTTTTTTCCCTCAGGCTTTTTCTGTTGCCTCCAAGACCCACTAATTAGGGTGGTTTTGAGATGCAGGTTTGAGGAAGGTGGAACTTTGTGAGTGTCTCTACACTTTTCCCCCTTGTGTTGAACCCTGCATTTGTGCCTCCCCCTTGTGAATACACCCATCTTTGTGTTGTCTATTCATTTTATGTCTGTTGCTTTTCCTTATTCTCGCCCTAACTCACCAGGTTTGGTTCTTGTGGGGTTGTTGGGAGAGGAGTCTATTTATTTTGTTTGTGACAGTGTGATCTGAAAACTTTCTATGGTTGCACTTTGGTTTGCTACTTTTACACCCCCTGCCCTGGGTTACCTTGACACCACTATTGCTCAGGGGCTTTGGTTAGGGGTTTTGTTATTAGCAATTTTCTAATGTTCTCCATTTGCTGTATTGTTGTGTTTTGATTTTTTACTCTGTACTTTGAAAAACTTGAATAAAAATGTATTGAAAAAAAAAAGAATACATTTAATGATGCATAAAAAAAATAAAAAAACAAAACAAAAAAACTCTGAACTAACTAAAAAGATTAAAGGCCATCTTCAGGCAAAAATAAAATATACTCCATAAAGACCCACGCATCATTTTTAAAAAAAGGCCCAGCATGGCCTTTTTTTACCCGATTCTGCATTACATGTCCTTTGCCGGAACTTCTTTTGCCAGTGAAATCTGGTGATCCTTCGCTAGAGTCCAGGCCACCGACAACCATGCAGCCTCTGAAGTCAGGGGGATCTACAAGGATTCCTCTGTTTAACAGACAGTGCAAGGTGTTCATGTTATGATTTTCACACCCTCACTCTGCAGTCCAGCAAAGACTCAGGACAGGGCAAGTCACTGAACCGTGTATTTAGGTGAATTTTTGATCAACATTTAGATTTTTATTTATTTTAATTTTTTTTAGCTGTAGTGAGAAGGGAAGGGGCACTGGCACAGATTTTTTTTTCATGAGCTGGAATAATTGTCACCACATTGCCAGTTAATACTTTATTTGTATTGGGAGAGCAGTTTACTAGTAGTGTGTTACCCACAGCTCAGTTCATGTAGGAGCAAAGGAAGGAAACCTCCTGTTTTACAATTGGTATAAAGTGTTTTTTCTCACTTAGACTTACTGAGAGATGACATGTTGAGAAAGAGTGGTCAGCAAATGTAGGAAGAAAAATTGAAACATTAGCATGTGTAGCTGGAATAGTGCAACACAAAGGCTGTAGCCTTTCTAAAATAATGTTATTTTATGTAGATGTTGTAGAGGCATGTAGTTCTTTTTTACTGGATATCTTCAATTTATAGCATGTGGGTTTTGAAGCAGAACTGTAAGCAAGTATAACAGAAACACATGAATCCATTCAACCTATTCACTAGAATCCTTAGATTTGTTTTTTTTAAATAGCTAAAACTGTGTTTATATTACCCTCCTGTAATACTGTCTACCGCAGATCAGGAGAGGGAGCCAAGGCACTGCAATAAGCAGTGCTGCACAGCCAATGAGGCCAATTGAGATGGCCGCCATAGGTGGCATTCAGGGAGCCTCAGTGGGTGCAGCACTGAGGTTGGAGTGTAATGAGACAAGTATGGGGGCTTCCATTACTGGCCTTCAAAAAATGCCAAGTTGTGTCTGATTTCCATACATTTGAGTCAGATATCGGCAACAAACATTCAATAAATGTGTGTCAGAAAAGTTCAGCCATTGAACTAGCATTCTTAAAAGGAGGTCAGCAATGGCAGCTTCGATTGTTCTTTCATGACAGATTCAACTTAAACCTTTAACTGCAGCGCAGAAAAGTGTATTAATGGGACTGTCTGTGTGGTAGGGCAAGGGCGAGAGAATATCATGAGTTGATGAACTGAGAAACACAGTTATGGCAGGTAAAACAGTTTACACATGTTTTTGAATTGTTTATTTAGCTGCTTCATACACAAACGTGCCATAACTGTTGCATTGCAATACTTAGGCAATAAACTAAATTAAGTGTGAAAGGACATTAGACAAATGCCAATTCATTGCTGTTATTTCTAGTCTTGTTAGACCACCCAGTTGGTTCTATCCCATGTCAACTCCTGAATCCCTCTGTCTCAGCTAAACATATAAAGTCCTTCTTATTAACCAGCTGCCTGCAAGACAACACAAACTATAATTAAAAAAGTGTCATATGTGTTTTACTACTTAGCAGCTCTCAAAATCTTATGATTACTGAATAACTGTGCCTTGTTCTTCATTGTGTCTGTGTGTGGAGGTGGCCATCTTGGTAGAAAAGGGCTTTGCTTTCTCATGTTAGAAATGCGTCCCTGATAACTGGTGATCTGATGCCTGCCAAAGTAATGATTAAGAAGCAGAACTGAAGGTGGATGAAGCACAATTCACACAATAAAGCAGGGATATTCTTGCACTGCAGGTCCTCAGGTACAGTTTCCTCTCCAGTAAGATGAACAGTGAGCAGCAAAGTTGTGACAAAGGCAAATCTCATGATACTAGAAAATCAGAGGCAACAGTGCCTTAGATCAGCGGTTGCCAAGTGGTGGTCTGCGAGAAAAGGCTGGCCCATCATTGAAGCAGCATGGAGGCCCTGGGGCTGCCTCACACTGACTCAGGCAGCGTGTCAGGAAGCCCGTACGAAGTGGACTGCGTCTGCGCACACGCGCAGGTGTGGCCCACAGTGTCAGGCCGGGCCGTGCACTCTTGCGCAGACATCAGTGCGAGCGCGTGCTCGCTTCATGGTGCGTGCGCGCATCTACAACGTATTGTGGCGCCAAATGGGCAATTTAAGTTCAGCCCCTCTATGTCTCCAGTGCTGAGTACTCTTCAGCTCTGTGCCTTGTATCCTGTGCCTATTTCCTGTCGTGTTGTTTCTTGTTGCTGACCCCGGCTTGCTTCTGACTCTGCTGATTATCCGGTATCCTGACCCTGGTTTGTCTGGCGATTCTCCTGCTCCCAGCCTGTTCCTGTATTGCCTGCACGTTACCGAACCCGGCCTGTTACCCGACTACGAGTTTGTCTCTTTCTGCACTACCTTCCTGCCTGCACATTGCCGACCCAGTCTGCCCGACTTCGAGTGTCTTCTGTCTGCCTCTTTGCTGTGTGTTTATACTTCATTGTACATCGAAGCAGCTAACGGACTTAATTACTCACACCCAAGTCTTCATCCGGCACTGGTGCCCCGCTGTGCCCCAGAGTACCTGGGGCAGAGCTGGGCAGAGTATTCATTATCAGGCCTTCTGGGACCAGAGTTGCAAGAGAGGCCGCCCTCGTCATCTCAAGCTTCATCAGGTACATGACACCGCCCTTGTCATCTCAAGCTCTATCAGGTACGTGACACAGCAGCATGTGCCCAGGGCACCACTGGCAGGGCCAGTGGCAGATTCGATAGGGGGGAAACAATTAATATTATGACTGGGCTGGGGCGAGTGGCACCGCTCCCTCCCTCCTGCAGGCACACCCACACCTATGTATGTGTCTATATACTTTATGTATACATACAGGTGAAACTCGAATAATTAGAATATCGTGCAAAGTTCATTTATTTCACTAATGCAACTTAAAAGGTGAAACTAATATATGAGATAGACTCATTACATGCAAAGCAAGATAATTCAAGCCGTGATTTGTCATAATTGTGATGATTATGGCTTACGGCTCCTGAAAACCCCAAGAACCACAAATACACAACACCAAAAAAGTAGATTATTACATGCAATCAATAAAACAAGGATTGTACATAGAACAATATCGGACCTCTGAAAAGTACAAGTATGCATATGTACTCAGTACTTGGTTTGGGCCCCTTTTGCAGCACTTACTGC